TCGACCATCCAGTTACTCTGTGCCTCAGCATATTTTATCATTCTGTTTTGGGTTTCTGTTTAGGAGAGGTGGGGGTGTTGCCCCCTGCCAGTCTGTCTGTCTCGATTAGCTTCTGTTCCCCTCCATCGCTGCTGTATGCTCGCGTGTGGGATCAAAGGGCTGGTTAATCATATCACTCTGCAGTAGGGCTGAAACCATCTGCCTCTCCTCTACCTGTGTCCTCCCCAGTCGACATTTATTAGCCGTTCTCTGAGGTGCCTCATCAGAAATGTGTCCTGCCAGCAATTCGCCCGGACACACTGTATTAACAAGGCATATCGTTTGGAGGTGTCCTTGATTAGGTAACATATCTGAATTACCGTAAGTCCTTTTAGGCTGCAGCATAGTAGTAATTCTTATCCTGCTACTATCAAGGCAGGTTTGCATTTTTAATAATTCATTCAAAATCAGGACGTTAACTCATTGATAAGCACAGACGGAATCTACAGATGGATCCTTTTGAATTCAGTTAATTTTTCTCATAAAAAAGCTGATGGTATTTGTTAACACCTTGACATTATTATTAATCGTAAAGAAATACTTAACTTTTGATATTTAAGGATGTAAATCAGTGACAAATTTTCATGAATGATTAAGTTTCAATAGATCCATCAATGAGGAGATCAAATATTCATGTTGCGACAATTGCTTAAGCTTTTGTCATGGTATATTATCACGATATTGAAATAAGTTGCTAAAAAGTGTTATGTTATAATATGTATTTAAGAACTCTGTTTAAGAATTCTATGCATTTCTGTGAATTGCTTTATTGTATTTAAATATTCAAAATAAACTATTTTTCCATACAGATTAAAGTGCAGAAGAATAGGCCTGTAGAAAACAATAGAACAATAGGCCTACTAAAGGGGTCATCGGATGCCCATTTTTCACAAGTTGATATGATTCTTTAGGGTCTTAATGAAAGTGACGTGACATGTGGCCAAGTATGGTAACCCATACTCGGAATTAGTGCTCTGCATTTATCCCATCCAAAGTGCACACACACAGCAGTGAACACACACACGGCGCAGTGGGCAGCCAATGCTGCGGGTGTGCAGTTGCGGGTTCAGTGCCTTGCTCAAGGGCACCTCAGTCGTGGTATTGAAGGTGCAAGAGAGGGCTAATGTCTGCTGTCTCTTCAGCACCATCTGCTGTCAGAGTGTGAATGTGCTTGTTTACATCAGAGTGTGTGCTTGCCTCTTTGGCGCAGCATACAGTGGTATTGTACGTTTTAACTGGATGATGGGAAAAGTATTCTTAAAATGCATTCTAAAAATCGGAATAATAAATAATTATTCATGGTATTTTGAAGTGCCCATGATAACAATATAATGCATGTTTATTATTGTGATATAGCGTATAGTTGTATATCGGTTAATTTCAAAACACACAACATTGATCAGATATTGATTACATTGCATTGCCATTTAAAAAAAAAAAAAAACTTTTACATGAACATTAAATAATGTTACATGGAAAGACAATAATTATAAAGTAAAAAATTTTAATTTAAAGATAAATTACCTTTTTCAATGTGATGGGAAAAAACACTAAATGCTGAAGAATGAATTCTGCTTACTCTTTATTTTTAAATATTTAATTCAGTTTATTTGCGGTGCGCTTTGTACAATACATATGGTTCCAAAGCAGCTTTACAGAAAATGGAAAAATAAATAAGATAAAAGGAAAAGAAAAACACTGCTAGACAACCCCCCCAGTGAGCAAGCCAAAGGCAAGAGTGGCAAGGAAAAACACCCTAGCATTATTAAGTATAATAATTACTTGAAATAAGAAATAACTGCTTTGTATTATTTATAAATATTTGTATTATATATTTTTGCTGCTTAACTCAAAACTAAATGAGTAATAAATCTGCTATACATATCAAAAGTTGCATACCATATGACAGTATTTTTAGTTTATAGAACAATCCCTTTTATGTTTTTTTTTTCCAAGAATGACCCTGACATTTTTCCATTTGACCTTTTCTCTCCTGATTTGTTGGAAAATCTGCTAAATGGATTTAAATATGAAAACATTTATTAAACAGAGAAAAAAATTACTACATTCTTATTCATAGCTGAAAGCGCAATCAAATTGGTAAAATGGGTAATTAATGAACTGGGATGTGTAGAACTTCATGAATGATGGATATCCTGATTCTGCGGTTTTGCAGGCATATTCATGCACAGGGGCTACAGTTACATTGAAAATCCAGCCCCTGATAGCAAATACGCCTTAATGAAGAACATGATGTCAGCATTTATTTCATTTGTCTTTATGCTTCTACGTAGAGATCTTTCTTTAAATCTCTAGCAATCTCTCGACTGTTACTGGGGGAGCGATGAGATGGCGAGTGACAGAGGGAGAAAATCATATTACTAAGTGTCGTGTAACCTCCACTCTTGGCAGCAGAAGGCAGCACGGTCACTTATGTAACCTGGCAGCTCCAAACACCATTTCCTTTCTTCCTACTGCAAGTGAAAATTACTCAAAGTCTTCTTTATGTAACTTGGGCAAGCAACAGCCCCCCAAATTGAACAGGTGGCATAACATTTTCAGCTAAAAAGACTTCATTTTGCTCCGATATATGTCAAGATATGATCCTTTACCTCTAGAATAGTTAGTGTATAAGCTCATTTGACTTTCTAATAGAAACAGTCACAGTTGGATATAACACATGTTATGCAGTTTGTGATTAGGGAATGCATGGGTGGGTTTTATAAAGCCCATGTTACCATCTTAAAATGTACCATATATAAATAAAAACTCATTAACTTAAATATTCTGCTACCTCATGTAAGGGTACAAGAAACATCCAACTTAGAGTTTGATTCTGATTTAAATTGCACACAGT